ATGTGCTATCATTTCAAGGTATCATGGTATATACTCAGTGATATGATCTTGTTATCAAATGTTTATATCCAAAACTACGTTTAACGCTCTTTAAGAGTAATTTCTGACCGCATTTTAAAGACTGTATTTTAACAGTTTTGAACCAGGTTTTTTTTTTCATTTTACTTTCGGGGGAAAATCATTATTTCATTGTTACTAAAAAACAAACTTTCCTTCCTAAAGGATTATTTAGTCTATTGTCTTAATGAATTGATATTTTCCCCTAAGTACAACTCCTTTTCTCTAATTGACGAGCATTATTGGCCAGCAAGTTTCTTGTGGTTTCGACACGTTTACAAAACCAAAAGAACTTGYGAACAACAGAATYTGTTGTCTTCCGATTGTCAGGGGTAACACAGACACATTTGGCGTCTAAAAATATTGCAAGAAAGCCTCAGAACAGTAAAACATTTGAAGATAAAGTAGTTGAATCACAAACGAAGACTAAAAACAGCAAACGAAAAGAAACTTTTCAGGTTTTATGAAGAAAAAAGTACATGAGTGAGACTTTACAAACTGTTACGTAACACTTTGATGTGAGAGAAGTGCTACAGGGCAAGTGGTTTACATCTAAACGCGAGTTCTTGTTCAAGAAATCTTGATAAGTAGGTAAGAAATCAAACATTTGAGAAAGAAAAGTAAACGTGTCCATGAGTTCATCGTGTTTTTAAGTAATATTTGTTTTAGATAGTACTTGTAAGTTTAAATCAGTTTAGGCAATATATAGTGACTAAAAAAAACGTTTGTCTAACTGTTTATTTCCATTCACAATCTTTATCACGAAACACGGCTACCAGTGCGCAAATCAATACAACGAAAAGCCTGCAACTTGCTACAGTTGCCTTAAGGTTGATTTACATAATGTTTGCGTAAAACTGAACATAAAACCTGTGCGCGTCATACATACAGCATGAATTGCGTCATGCGAATCAAAGCTACAACTCACCACAACTACCTAAAGGTTGATTTACACTGTACAACTGTGGCATACAACCTGTTTACGTCATACGTGTAAATTGCATAATATTAAAAAGAAACATTGATCGTCATTGAGTCAAAATAGGTAATTGTGGTTAATACGTGTATTCCATTGACTAAATGGTGAGGAATTGGACTTCAACCTCCTCTTTTGTTTTGACTTTTGATACGAGTTTTGCCAGCCAAACCAATTCCTTCTAAATATCTACTGAGGAAATATTTAAGGACAAATTTAATCATGTTACAACATCTCTATCACTTCTACATACAAGGATCGAACAGAGTGACTGCTACAATCTTGGACATAAATGTTGACAATTTATCGCGCGCACGACTTTGCTCACACTACTCGTGGATAAAAGCATCCCCGCGTCCCCCCCTACCCCCAATACAATGTTGTGTGGCTGTTTTTCATACTCTGGCCATTCATGAACCCGTACCTACAACATTGCCATGGGAGGGAGGGGAGAGTGGGGAAAAATAAGCATGACTTACAAGAGATACCGCATTTCTGCTACCAAAGTGAAAAATTGTCAACTATTTATGTCCACGATTGTCTGAAACTATATTCCTAAAAATCTCTTGGCCGCCTGAAGAAAGTATGACATGTCTACACTCAAAAGAAGCGTTGTTTCGAACATTGTGACATCATAATGTAAATTGATTAATTGTACATAATAGCGTAGAAAAAAAGACGTTTTTGCATTGTGGCAGACATCACGCTTGAACACTGCAGAAGCGCGCAATGGTGTWCAAAGAAGCTATAAGTCCTGCCCTCCGAGCTTACATATTGCATGAGGTGCAAGACAACAAACTCACTGCAAAGGAAATTGCCAA